GACACACCAGAGCGAAACGGACCTACCGGTACACAGCAACAATGGAGGGAAGGACTGAAGAAGCATTCAAGGGAGCGGCAGGGGCCCACGCCGTTCGCAGTTGGAACAAACAGGCAACTCTTGTGGTTGGTGCGCTTGCTCTGCCAGGATCCGGGCCCATCCATTTCTTTCCGCCGCCGGATCTTGATGGCGCGATACTTCGCTGAAAGACAGTCGAAGAAGGCGCAAGGGGATAGGGAGCACGGCGCAAGAGGTCAGGCATGCGTGAGTTTGCGTCCGACCCTGGCAGGCAAATAGCGGGGTTGTGACGAAATCTGTGGACTGGCCTACGTGAAGAGAGTGACTAGAAAGACTATACAAGAAGTCCCAAGATTCCAGCAGCACATTCCCCACGAAACCAGCTTCGTCCATATGCTCAGTCACAGTTTACGCTAGGGTTGCACGCTTCATGCCTACCACATGCTGCAAATGCCATGACTTCTGATCACTGCCATCCGAAATTGAAAGGTATGTATGGAAGTAACGGTGACTGCCCCAATGATGACCTTGATTTTTGCGGCTTTTCAAAAAGACGAGGTGCGAAGATCGCGGCGGCAGGACTTGCAGGGTTTTGGATAGTTTCGGGTAGATGGGCTCGCTATGGCACGCAAGTCGTCTCTTGGAGGGGCTCTTATTCCTTTTTCAGCCTACACATGTGTCCGCTGCTGTTGAAAAGTGCAGATGAAGTCAGATGGGGGCAAAGAGCGATCGTAGCGTCGCTGAAATGTAAGCTTGATTTTTTTCGGCTTGCCAGGACTTTTAGCATGCCCTGCTTCTTTGCGTGGTTCTAGAAGATCTCGGAAGAGTACCCAAGCGTTGGGGTTTTGACACGCAAGCAGTCCGCGGATTGCCCTGCCGGTTCGACTCCATGCATGCTGATGTAGAAGATCTCATGTTGTGTTTGTACCCTGGGCCCGGGCCCAGAAGGCCTCCAGAAGCCAATGATGCTGATGATGCTACTCTCCCTCCTTCGGCCCGGGCTCTGAGGGACTCCCATGACCCTGTCCTTTCCCGTACTTCCTCCCAAAAGAGCCTCTACAAAGACAGCAGAAGAGTTCGTTGTGCCTTAGGACGGCAGCAGGCTTTCGTCCTCGTCCCTCATCCCCAATTGCGAAGCTTCACCTCCTGTGCAACGATGAGTGAGTGGTAGTGGTGAGTGGCCGAGCCAAACAAGCGTGGCGAAGTCAACTACCATGAGGGCTTCCTGTCGCAGATCAGGGTCTACCTCCGCGAGATCACGGAGATGGAGCAGGGAAGTTTGGAGAAGTTACAGTAGCCAGGGAATCAGCAAGCCGCAAAACGGAGCTATACTCCGAAAGCCTTCCCAATGTTTTTGGTTGAGCTTGCAAAGCTCGACCTCTGGCTGTAGGATGACAAGGGACCAAGCGCGCTGCTAGGCTAGTTCTTGAAGACCAACCCCCGAGAAACGCGTCAAGACGAAGTCTGCTAAAACTGCGTTGCAGAAGACCTTCCCTTTCACTCGGCAAGCGAAGCTATACCTGTACCCGAACACCCTCTGAGCTTTGGGATTGAGAGGACTGGGAAGATCGGCAGATGCGCGCGCCTTGCCAGCACAGATTGCCCACTGGACAATCAGAGCAATGGCACCCGACCATTGCCTTGCAAAAGTGCTGTCTAAAGCAAAGACTCGTCTCCCTGAGTCTTAGTACGGAAGAAGGGAATTAGGGCCCTGAAAAATGTATACCCTTCAAGGGATTGTATGGGGTTTCTCATTCCCTCATTCCCTACGAAGAACCAGCCAGTCGTCAAGGAGAGGCTCCAGCGCACACCTCTGGTTTTGTGCTGCCGCCATGCAGCGCATTGCTCCACGCCCTGTTTTTTTGGGCTTCGTTGGTTTTATTGGCGGGTACTCGTGGGTGCGACATGGTTCGCTTTGCGGGGAGAAGGTGGTGCCATCGGCATAGTCAATGCCAAAGATGTTGGCCGCAGTATCCCAGGCCAATCGGCCAGGTAAAGCTGCTGAAAATGCAGACTTGCTGCGCAAGACTCCTAAACTCTAAACCCTGCACCCTAAACCCTACGCCTTAAACCCTACACCCTAAAACCCTAAACCTTAAACCCTACACCCTAAACCCTAAACCCGAAAGCCCTAAAGCCCTGAAACCCGAAAACCCTAAAACCCCCCTAACCGAGGCTTGGCCGGAGAGCCGGTTGCAGATCAGGGGAGCGCATCCCCATTGAAAAGACATCGGATTCCTGGCGGCATCATGTGGAAGAACCGTAAAATTGGGGATTACATACCCTATATTACATAGTTTTTACTGTAGCCCTTGTTAGGGTTTAGAGTTTGGGGTTTAGGGTTTAGGGTTTAGGGTTTAGGGTGATAACCCTATACTACTATAGTTACTATAGTTCCTACTAAGGTATACGCCCAAAATGAACCCTTTTAGGGTTCATTTGGTTTCACAGGGTCTATGACGGCTTGGGGACAGGAGCGGCGCTTGCCAAGCGTTTGGATGCGCGAGCCGAAATCGCAGAGTATGATCATGAGTATAATTATATACTTATGAACTATAAATAAATAAATAAAAATAAAAATATAAATGTAAATAAATAAATAAATATATATATATATATATATAAATATAAATATATCTGGAACATATTCGAACTCAAATATGGAAACAGGCAAGTATGTAAAAATGACAGTAGAAATGTGAATGAGCAAAATTATCCACACAGACACACACGCGTATCTGCATATACATGTATATGTACATGCACATACCCATGCACATATACATGTGCATGGACATGTACGTAACCTACACAGACACAGACACATACGTACACATATGCATATACACAGGCCAAAGGGCCCGCCCCCTAGCTCAGCCTCCATGTGCTTGCTAGGATGGCTTTCGAGAGCCTCGTCCGGCTCTTGGTGACGGCCTCCAGGGCCCTGGCGGACGCCGCAGAGCAGGCGCTCTTGTGCAGCCCAGAGCCAGGAAGGTTCTTTAGGCTGCTGATGATGGGCGCGCCGTCCGCAGTTGCTGGCATACTTCGTCCTTGCGACGTGGCCTAGTAGTTCTTGCGCATCTTCAGCAACGTGAGCAGCCAACGTAGCGTCGGGTTCAATCATTGCAGTTCATTCGCGAGTCAATCCCCTCTGCCACAGGCTTGAGGTCAGTCATTTGCCGTATTTCTGCATTCCAGGAAGAAACGCCCAACCCCCTTCCTGAAATACACAGAAAGTCCAATGGGCCTTGCTTTAACCCCTAAACCCCAAACCAAACCCAACCGAAATCAGTGCTGAAGTGTGTGCACAGGCGGAACAGTGCCTCCGGAGACGCCAGCATGGCACCTCAGCCGAAGCCACGTTGAGTAGAAATGTTAGGCATAATCGTCATGCAAAAGCAATAGCAACATGAGTAGCAGAGTACCGTTGCAACATCCTAAGAATCGGAATGGCAACCGTAGTCTTAGCAGCAAACGCGTGGTAATATTGTTAATCATTAATCAGAAAAGGCTTAGTTCTGCTGGGTGTGGTTCGCACGGAACACGGAAGAATGGACACCGTGAGCAATCGCAAAAAACACTGGTGCTTTGGCGAGCTTGTTCCTTGCAACCTGTGCACGGAGTCGTAGTTCGCAGCCCAACATGCGTGCAACACCTTGAGCAAGCGCGGTGCCTTGCCAGACCCCCCCCCCCAACGGGCCCTCAAAGCCCCAAGAAGGGGCCCTCAAAGCCAAGAAGGTATGGTACATCTGCCCGCTGTTCCGGGACAGCCGTTGCCTTGCAGCGATGATGATGACGACGCGCCCCGCACCCTGGATTTGTTGACGCAAAACTCCTTCTGAAGCTGTTTCCCGGCCAAACTGAAAGCTTCTGTGACATTGCTGGTGCAGGTCACAGTAACAGGGCTCCTCACTTGGGATGTTCACGTCTGTTTTGCCACGGCACCTCCCCTTGCAAGCGCGCTGCAAGTGTAAGCCTCTGAAGATCCAACGCTGTGACGAGGCATTCGGGTGGTCCACAACTTCACGCAGCTTCACGGGAGCACATCCCAGCTGTAGACTTCCAGCCTCTGGGTTTAGAACCAGGCCAAGTACTTGGGCGCACTGGTTCCTGAAATGGTTCCTTAGCAATCATGGGTTCCCCTACTACCCCTCTCCACAACCCCGCCTTAGGTCCCCCCCCCCCCCCATAATTAAGGCTATTTTAGGGATAGTTAAGCCTGATTAAGGTTATTTTAAGGGGGGAACCTGGGGGGGGGGGTAGTTTAGAGGGGCGTGGTAGGGGAACCCTGAATGCGGGTTCGGGATGCCTCCCAAAGCGGCATGGGTCCAGCAGCACTGGCCTTAACGCCTTGCGAAAGTGTAGCCTTAAGAGGAGCTCTGCTTTGCTTGTGGCTACAGAAAGGCCAAGGGAATATGAACCATATTCCTAAACCCTAAACCCCAAACCCGAAGCCCTAAACCCTAAACCCTGAACCCTGAACCCTACTTAAACCCTAAGCCCTAAACCCTAAACCCTAAACCCGAAACCCTACAGAAAAGGGGCGACGCTGGGGCCATGCTTGGAGGGCCGACGGTCCAGTTTCACCTTTCGGTTCCGGGGAAGTGGCGAGTCTCGCGCCCAGTTGAAATTGTGAGAGTCGGAGCAGGCCCTTAGGGCTTCGGGTTTGGGGTTTAGGGTTTAGGGTTTAGGGTTTAGGGTTTCGGGCGGGTTTAGGGGTCAGGGTGCCAGCAGAGCTGATCAAGCGGTACTGTTTGGGGGTTCTGTTTTTGGATCCTCCCAGGGGTCTGGGCTAGGGGAGGGCGTGTGGGTGTATGATTCCCCAAGTTCAGAAAGTCGGCCTCGGCTTGTTTGTGCCAAACGGTAGCACTTCCAGCTCCTCGACAAGGGGTTTAGGGTCTATAGGGTTTAGGGTTTAGGGTATACGGTTTAGGGTTTCGGGAATGATACTCAGACTTGACCGCGCGCCTCCAGCTTAGCAGGTAGAGCTGTCCGACTTCCAGCGGGTCTTCGACGTCAATGCCGGTAGCCCTGATTTGAACCCTAAACCGTAAACCCCCCTGAACCCCAAGCCCCTAAACCCTTTTCAGGGAGGGATCTCGGAACGACGCTTCAGTGTTTCCAGGCGGGCTGGGGACGTTTAGGTTTAGGGCTTTGGGGTATGCACGTTCCCCCCTCGGAATTTCTTGGAGTAGTTCCCTTCCGAGTAGCGCTCCTCCATTTAAGCTACACCCTAAACCCGACCTACACCCCACACCCTAAACCCTAAACCCTAAACCCTAAACCCTGCACCCTAAACCCGAAACCCTAAACCCCTCAACAGAAGCTGCCTGAGGGGGCGATGGGCGTTCCGGTGAGGTGAAGGCCATCTTCCTGTGCTCCAAGGCCGTCTTGCTGGGGACCCGGTGCTGTGCTGGGCGTTCCCCATCACATCTGAGAGAGGTGTAGGGCTTAGGCGGCTTAGGGCTTAGGGTTAGGGCAACTAGGTTTAGGGTTTAGGGTTTAGGGTTTAGGGTTTAGGGTTTAGGGTTTAATGTTTAGGGTTTAGGGGTAGGGTTTAGGGTTTGGGGCTTCGGGCTTTAGGGTTGAGGGTTGAGCAATTTAAAAGCCGAAGATGAGGCCGTCCATGCTGAAGTCCGGATATGGCCGCATCGTGAACATTGCCTCCATCTCTGGGAAGGCCCTGGGAGTGGCAAAAGCCAAGCTTTCCCCGAAAAAGTGTCCATGGTGGGCACAATCATAAGCCTCCGAATGGATTTGGGATCCCGCCTTATACTAACAGTCCTTCATAGGGAACAATACTAGGGGGTACTAAGGGGGAACATCCCCAGGCCTAAACCCCCCTTCTACGACCCGGCCAGGATGGAAACGCAGGGATGCTGGCGTACTCCTCCTCCAAGGTTTGGAGCCACTTGCACATGCCCTGCGCCTCTCTCAACACAAAAAGCAGAATCACGGATTTCTTTCAAAGAAAGTCCGTTCCTCTCTTCCTCTCTCTCTCTCTCTCTCTCTCTTTCTCTTTTATTGATTATGTTTCTTGTTTTGCTTTCGTTGTTTTGTTCTTTTTGGGGCTGTGGCTCCCAGCAAGAGTCCCGGAGGCAGCCGTGATCAACCTGACGAAGGTCATGGGCAAGGAGTACGCGAACCTGGGCAAGGCTCGGTTAGAGACCCGTCAGGCATCGAAGCCTTGAACTTGGGGACGTTCCCCCTTGTACGAAAGGCTCCTTCATGGGGATTCTAGTAGGGGGGTACGAGAATCCCTATGAAGAAGCTGTTAGTATGAGGGGGAACATCCCAACCTTGAACCCGAATTCCCTGATAGAAACCGGCCCCTTGGTGCCATCAACCTTTGCGAGCAGGACATCACGATCAACTGCATTGCGCCAGCAGTTGTGCAAACTGCGTTGCGGTCTCAGCAGGGTTTAGGATTTTTCGGGTTTTTGGAGCTGGTGCTCTGAGTGTGGATTCAAAAGGGTTTTAGGGGTTTAGTTGCTTGTGTGTGGATTGCGAGTTTCACGCCGTGGAGCCTACGTTGCTTTGGAAACGGCCCTGTGTACTGTATGCGTTGGGGTCGAATTAGATTTAGTTCAAGTCTTCTTCCAACTCACCAACACCATGAATCAAACACCCCAGTGCCTAGTGATTCACTGGGATCGTTGTCTTGTGCTTATTCGGCCACTCTCAGCTCTGCGTTGTTCCCAGCTCTGCCGAGTGCCGCGTCAGTGCTTCATGCTGCTACGTGCGAGGATGGTGGACGCGATGCCTAAGGAGCAAGTGAAGTGCCCACCCTTCCGCTTCCAAAGTTCTTCCGTCGAGGTCCTTCGAACTTGCAGCTCGTGTAGCTCATCATCGGGTGGGGCGTATCTTGACCAGGGGACTGCGATTGTGGGGCGTGGGCATGCTTGCTCAAGGATCCGACATGGACTGTGAAAAAGGTACATGACTGACAAGATTCCCATGGGCCGAACAGGCAAGCTTGATGAGGCGGGACCCTGAAACCCTCGAAACCTTATGTAAACCACTTAAGCCCCGAGTGCCTTCAGCCCTGAACCCTAAACCCTAAACCCTCAACCCTAGCCCCTTTCGGTTGGCACTCTGAGCAGGTGGCATCCACAATTCTTTTTGCAGCTTCACAAGATTGCTCCTTTACCACCGGATTTTGTGCGCGGCTGAGACCAGGGTTTAGGGTGTATAGGGTGGAACCGGTGTGTGAGAGTTTCCCAAAATAGGGGACACGACCCCTCCACACCCCCCAAGAAGGAGAACTGTAATTCATCCTTGTGACAGGACCCCACCCCAAAAAAGGGTGCCCACATAAATTTTCAGCAACCCACATCTTGGCAGCTATTGACAATCCTGATTACAATCCTGCCTTTGCTCCACCTTCAACGCGTCGCAGGCCTCCATTCAGCCGAGGTTTCGATGCCAGCGGTGGCCGAACCGTGTACTGACATGTACCGACTGCACAGCGTCTTGCCCCGTTGTGCCGCTTCAGCTGGCTTCAGGGCCTTGACTTGCGAGGGTCTGGCTGGCTCAGGGCTGCAGTTTGAAAAAGACGTCAAAAGAGTGCTTGGTGCATTGTACGACACGGAAAGCACTCACATCCACATGCGAGAAGAGTGCATGCACCTACTACCAGCCGTCTACATGCTTCACCTGCGGGTAGTATGCATTAGCTTTCGTTCTGTCATTGCTTCTTCAATTATGCAGGCAAGAACAGACGAAACACTCGTTACCCAACAATACATCTCGTTGATTATGGTCTAGTGCGTTAAGTTTGTTGGAGAGATACAGGGAGTGGAACGTCGTGGCCCGTTTGTGCCTCACCAGAGAAGGGCTATAAATCAGATGTCGTGGCCCGGTTAAACATCAACTAATGGCAGAACTTGTCGAGGATCCACAGCTGTTGGACATTTCTCGGGATGCAAATCCTGAAACACTCATGGGCCCTGGGTTTTTAATAGGGTTTATAACGGGCACGTAAGGACTCCCCGTTTAAGGGCCCATACTACGGGACCATGTAACCCCTAAGATTTCTGTGGCTCTCGCATTCCTCTGCGGGTAGTACTGGCTGATTCTGGATGGTCTTGCCAAGAAAATTCCTCTGCTGCCCGATGGCTTGCCCGACCCTTTGTCGTAGTTGGGTAACATTTTTAGTTTAAGGGTACTTAAACCCTATAAGGAATAAACATTAAATTCTTTAAAATAGTATTGTCCCAACCATGAACTGGAACCCTTGCCAGTTGCTGTTTGTATTGGTTGCGCTGCCTTTGCGTTTAGATCGGGGGGAAGCCACGACTTTTTGTAACTTCTGGGGTTTGCGTTTGCATGTGGGAGGGCAGGGGGGCCATGACAATGCCACGATTTTGTCGGATGCCTTTATTGTGCTACTTCCTGCTGCAGTGGAACCTTTCATACGATGCAACCGCGTATGGGCTCAAGGGCGACAGTAGTTCAAGGCCCAGGACACTCCAAGCATGTTCTCCGCCGACGCTTTCCCTGCAGTCAGATCTTCTTGGGGTTGATATGGGATACTCTCTCTCTCTCTCTCTATATATATATATAATAGAGCATATTTTTGTATATCTTTTCTCCCTTTGAGTGTACATGTATGGTCCACTTTGGGGTCTCCAGAATCTTCTACGAGTAGACTCCCCATCGCCCCAGGGCTAGATCGGGCCAGGGCTTCTGGAGCTTGGTGGTGAGGTGGGTCTGTTTTTTTAGTCGTCTTCAGTCGCGGTGTGAGAGGCAACCGCGAAGAATCAATTGAAGGTTTTGCGAGAAGCAGGCCCTGCAGTGAGTGGGGCTCCCTTACCGTCACCTTCATTCCCTACACCCTATATAAGCCCCAAACCGCTTCTTCTTTTCTAAGCATTCATCGGCGAAGGATGTCATCTCTTCACAGAAGAGACTGGAATCGGTCCTAGAGGCGTTGTTGCCGCGGCCGGCACGTATCTAATCGTGCCTTGTGCCATAACGGCTGCTTGAAGAAGCGGGGTGGGCTGGGATGTTCCCCCTTATACGAACAGTCCTGGGTAGGGATTATCGTACCCCCCAATTGTAATCCCTGTTAAGAACCTGTTCGTGTAAGGGGGAACATCCAGGGGGCAGGTTCTTTTTGAGCCCAGTTAAGGCACATCTCAGCTCGAACGTGCTGTTTCGGCTTTGCCATCGTGACCCAGGTTGCGGCCGCTGATGTGGTGTCCCCCGCAGTGCGCCGGGCCACAAATGTTGCTTCACTCCCGAATTCCTAAGTGGGATAAGGGAGACCCTTAAAAGGGAGCCCTTCTCAACGCCCTTCTTGCTCTCTTAAAGAGGGTTCTTATTGAGAGGGTCTATATCCCCAAGGGTCCCCCATCCTATCCCCTCGAAAAAAGAAAGCACACCGATCTTGGAAATCAGGTCTTTCGTAGCGGCAGTTTGTGTGGAGACGGCGGGTTTCGTCGGAGTCAGACAAGGAAGGAACTCCGAGAGGGACAAGCTTTTCTCAGTAAGCAAGGAAGGGGGATGTAGTGCATGGAGTGTTCAGCTCAGAACCCCACGCTTTGCAGTGTGCCTTGCTGCAGGTACTCTTATGATGGCTTAGATACGCACGCACGTGGCAGCCCCAGCATTCTCAGCATTTGGGGTTGGGGCTTTAGAGGGTTTAGGTTTCGGGTGTGTGAAGTGGGAGTTCTTCCTTTCTGGCAGTCACCAAGTCCCGTTGCAAAAAGAGGGTTTAGGTACATTTTTTTCTTAAATCCTAAACCCTAAACCCTTTTCGAGTTCAGGCCTGCTTATGTTAAGGCCCGGATGCTCAGAAAGGCGCCAAAAAACGGGGCTGATGGGTTCACTTAGGTGCTCCGCGCGTGTCGACCCCACCGCCTCGGTCGGCAAGGCTCAAAGGGACCGCTTTCCGGGGTTTTGCTCAGTTTTTTTTTTTTTGGGTGGGGGGGGGGCATGGTCCACTTTTCTCTGGTAGGAATCAAAAAACGTTAAAAGTAAAACATCCACAATTCAGAACGACACCCCCAAGTGTCACTGGAGGTGAGAGGATGGGCCCTTCGGATTCCGTGCATCTTTCCGAAACCCTAAGGACCGAGCTTATGGGCATCTCCAAGACGCCTCATGTGCTGCCTCCCTAAACCCTAAACCCTAAACCCTAAACCCTAAATCCTAAACCCTAAGCCCTAAACCCTAAACCCTAAACCCCTAAACCCTAAACCCTAAACCCTAAACCGCAGCCATTCTTCCTGTCAAGACCAGGCTTAGTGCAGAATGGTTCGGGTGGCGATTTCGGGGGGCGGACGGCACGGAGCTGTGCCACTGCGACCTGAGGGATGATGCCAAGGCACCATCCGTTTCATTCGCCCTAAACCCTAAACCCCAAACCCCAAACCCCAAACCCTAAACCCTAAACCCTAAACCCTAAACCCTAAACCCTAAACCCTAAACCCTAAACCCTAAACCCTAAACCCTAAGACTAGGTAGGCCCTTGAAAGAGTTTACATTTTCCCTTGTTGGGTTTAAGAGGATCACATTCCAGAATATTTTTCAGATAGTTTGAAGGGCCATCCAAGAGTTCTGTGAAGCTGGACAACAAAGCACAGAATGTGAGTAACGCCAGGGCCGTGGGATTCTTCGGGCGTGATCATAATCTTCTTGGCCGAAAGCAGGACCATCAAGCATGGCCCCCGAATCTTGTTGTTGGGATAGCTGGAAGCTGTTGTCTGTGAAGAAGACTAGACACGTCCAGAGTAACAACTAGAGCTAATAAGAATTGGTTCGTAATATTGACCACAAGGAGTGGCAATAAAGTCTGCGGGCCGCACAGAAGCACCGCGAGCGATCATGTAACTCATTAAGTCCTCTCAGCACAGGTGCTGAAATTCAGGTTCCTTCTGGGGTCCACGTTCTTGGCGTGCACTCCCAGCACTTGGGTCAATGTTCTGTCAAGAGTCAATATCTCAAGAATCCACTGGACCCGTCTTTCTCCGAACTCCCAGGGTTTAGGGTTTAGGGTTTAGGGTTCAGGAGCCGGACCCAAGATTTTGGGGTCCAGGGTGGCAGGCTGTTCTAGTGTGGATCTGGTTTTTAGTGGAGGGCTCCGAGTGCTGGGTTTGGGGAAGGGCCCCCTGGCGTGGGGAGGATCCCGATGTTGAGGGGTCGGAAGCTATCATTTGCCAGATCGCTCCTGGGCCCAGGAGCCAGTCACACCCGCGCCGGCTGCAGCGGGCGCCATGTCGAGCTTCTGTGCAAGCGCCTGAGCTCTCGACAGACAGATGGGGTTGCTCAATGCCGGGAGTAGTCGCCGCTGTAACGACACCTTCAGTGCAAGATAGCAACTCTTGGTTCTTGCCAGCTCTCGTGCATGCAGTGAGTTTGGGGATACTTGACATCGTTGCTCAAGAGTCCCTCACACGCCAAGTGCGAGCGCCACGTGCAACTACTCTCCTGTTCTGATTTGACATACTCCAGGATCAGCACGGCCTCTCGCAGCAGCTGCTCAGCAAGTTGAACGAAGAAGATCTCAGGAGCCCGGGCGTCAGGTCGCCATGGCGTCCTCATTTCCCAAACCGCCAGAGGGGGGGAGTGGAGGTCCCTAAACCCTAAACCCTAAACCCTAAACCCTAAACCCTAACTGGGCCAATGGGCCTACACTCGAGAGACGTTGCCTGGAGCCTCGCCCGCCTGTGCCAGTGTGAGACCCTAAACCCTAAACCCTAAACCCTCAGCCCTAAACCCTAAACCCTAAACCCTAAACCCTAAACCCTAAACCCTAAACCCTAAACCCTAGACCCTAGACCCTAAACCCTAAACCCTAAACCCTAAACCCTAAACCCTAAACCCTAAACCCAAGTCTCGGGGCTCAGCTCGGAGGGTCGTTGTTGGTCTCCGGTGTGGTCGCAAGGAGCCCCGATGAACTCCTGGAGCTGTCGGACGAGGCACCCTGTTTTCTTTTTCTCTTTCTGATTTTGGGGGATGTACCTGTACTGGATTAGATGCTTGTTGTTATGTTTCATTTTTGTTACATGTTTTTTTTTTTTTTTTGGGGGGGGGGGGGGGGCGGGGGGGTTGGGTTCCCTGTGCAGCGTCCTGGTGATGTACTGAATCCATGCCCTCAACAACCATGCACCCCGCAAACCCGTCATAACACGCAAGCTGGGAAGCCTCCAGAGCCAGCAGCAGCGTAGCGAAGCGAGCCTCTAGACCATAACTCTGGATGTTCCCCTTGTACGATTTGCAGGCACTCCTGAATAGGAATTATATTAGGGGGTACCCCGGGGGCACTATAATCCCTGGTAAGGAGTGGTAATATAAGGGGGAATATGCCAAAACATAACTGTAACTTTGCTTTTGCCAACACGGTTCGAAGTTCGCGCGCACGGTCTTGTTGGTGATGCAGCGAGATGGTCATTCGAGGTGTGGGGCTAGCTATCCGTAACGCCGTCAATGCGTACCCGAGGCTTCC